TTGATCGACGTCACAGTGTTGGCGAGCCGAGGGCTGAGTTTCGAAAGCGGAAACTATACAGCTTGTATTTTGGAAACCCTGAAAATAGCTGCAACGGCAGACCAGATTCAAAATTATTCAGGAATTGGGAATGTTTTTTAAAACGGAATTATACATCTTCTTTAAGCATAGACTTTGAAGAAGACGTTATATGCTACCGAGCGATTTGAAGAAAGACTGTTTTGTACATGCCTTCAACGAAATATGTCTGAATTTATAAGCGCAGTGAAAATCAATGGTAAAAATTCACACCAACTAAATTGTCAATTTTTACGGAATGTAGTTTACGCGGGCGGCCGATAGGAAACTCGTTCGAAAGCCGACCTGCTGAGGTGACTGAAATGTTTCAACACTATGCGACACGCGAATAAATATAGTAGCCCTGCGTAAATAACCATTTCGAATTCAAATCGATCAGTAGTGGTCATGTAGCCCCACCTGAAGTAAGCAAGTCCCATCCACATGTAATACGGGGCCGGGGAGCGCACAGGCGACGAGGTCAAGTAGTTGTATGCAAAAGAAAAGCCATTGGGAATGTGCGGTTGTACTTTTGGTGGTCGAGAAATAGTTGTCCTAACCCATAACTCTAACCCCTAACCCTAACTCCAACAGTATTGTGTGGATCAGGTGCGGTTAAATAACCACTTTTTGCTTTCAAAACGTATCCCAGGGTTTTAATCAATATTTCATGAGATAGCTTATCGGTAGGGTCAGTCACCTGCGACTCCATCATAGGCGACTGGAGAATTAGTCCCCAACATTGCGGCCAACAGCGTCATGCCCTGCCCACAGTGTCCACATTGGATCGGCCTATTCATTCGCATGCGCATGCTCGAAGACGATTACTGGAACGCAGGTCCTGCTTGCTTCCTCTCAGTCCTGACAGGACAGTGCATGGACCCACTCAGTTATGTAGATACACAGTTCAGCAATGCAACAATCCATTGGTGCTATCTTCCAGGGTCGTAAAAACCAGTGAAACATCACAGACGGGCGCATGCAACTTTATTTTATTCGAAATCCAGCTGGCGCACTTGGGGCGCTCGGCCAGCACGTGTGTGACGCGCGTAGACAGAGGCTCGTGCTACGTCGGCCACTTCCTTCAGTCGCAGCCTCCTCCAGCGGGACTCGGAGAGATCAGGGGTCAGTAGAGGCTCAATGTCAAAGGCCTGTTTTCCTTACAAAAGGTGATACAACACGCTTTCACACTGTGACGGCGCGCTTCTAGTCGTGACTTGACAAGATACCTCGCTCTTTCCTCGGGTGAGGGAGGGGGCAGTCAGACTGCAATGGTTGTCTTTAAGGTTGCTCATTATGGGACTATTAATTATGCGGGATTCACTCGTAAGCCCGGTCTATGTGAAGTCATAGGCACGTTCGCGTATGGTAGGCGTAGACAGTCTGCTAAGCTTTACCAGATGGCGAATGTGAAAATGGTTAGTGAGACAGATGCAGCGCCGGTCCGCTCCGCTGTAAACAAATCCACACAAATCAGCTCTATCCCTCCCCCCCCCTTCGACGTCATTGGTGGCCCTTTCTGTCCGTGACACCTCCACACAACGTGTGATGTTGATGCTGGCGCGGTTGGTGAAAGCTGTTTTTTGCAATGTGACAAGCCAGTGAAATTGAGTCATATGTTGCTCACAATGGTAAAAGAGGACGTACATACAGTGAGTGACCGGTTTTATGAAATGTTTGCTGAAATTCTGAAATGCCTTTTCGACCAGGAAGGATTACTTGGGCGCGGTTGTAGTATCGATTATCTCGCGGAATAATCCTATAATATTTCGGAGTTGACGGCATGTTTTTCGATCTGCCGAAGAAACCGTACTTGGAAAAAAATAACTATTTAAGTAGCATGCATTTTTCCCATTGATTTTCGACGATCATGCAAAATCAAACATGTTTTATAGAAGCCACGAACAAAGATAGGCTTTCTTTCAGTCGTTTGATAGAGAATCACGCCAACTTTATATTTTATACTCGAAAGGGAAGTATAATTGGGTTTTAAAAACGTTTACTAACTGTCAAATAATTTGAAGTCTGATCAGTCGTCGCACTGGCGCTTAGTGATTTCAGTCTACAAAGTGCATGTGTTTAGCGTAATGAAAATCATATATCCTTCCATGCTTTTAAGAGAATACTTTATAGATTCCATAAAATTTGGCAATGGTTGTGGACTATGTTTTACATTTCACGAGGAGCAATGCTTAACGGACAGGAACGGTGCTATATGAATGGACTTTGCGTGGCCTTATAAAAGCCCATAATCGGAAATTTTAACAACCTAGTAATACTCCCTCTTCAAGTATGAAATTGAAAGACGACGTAATTCTCTGTCCAACGACTGAAAGAAAGCCTATCTTTGTTCGTGGTTTCCATAAAAAATATTTAAATTCGTTAGACAACCGAAAATCATTTGGAAAATTGCATAGTACTTAAATAGTCGTTTTTCCCGGGTACAGTTTCTACTGGCGATTGAAGGGCAGTTTATTCAAAAAATGACATTATGTCGAGTCCGAAATACTATAAAATTATGCCGCAAGATAATTAGTATTACAGTCGTGCCTAAGTAATCTTTCCTAATCGAAAAGGCATTTCAGAATTTCAGTCGACATTTCATGAGACCGGTCACTCACTGTAATTAATAATAATCCTATACGATAGCTTTTTGCTCCTGCTCAAAATACATTTTGCTACTTTCTTGAGTCCGAGCAGGAAGCTGCCTGAATGCAAAAGCTCAAAAATGCAGACTTTAAGGAACGTAAATCGATGTACCAAGAAGCCTTCTGACCATTTTATCCGGACGGAAACAACACTTTTTCTCCGGAACGAAAGTCATAACAGAACTTACTTGGACGAGCTGAACCTGATCTTTTACTCAGGTACATGCTAACTTTGGAAAGCCCCATTATTCCTCATGCGCGAATACTGTTCTGAGTTACCGTCTGTTAGACCGTTTCCTGTCTACGTTCTATATACTTTCTAATTCCTCGCAGTTTACGTTTGGTCAGGAAGCATCCATTTCCTGACTTTAGACCTGCTTTCTTAAAAGTCTGATTGCGGCGATCATACGTTATCAATTGATCGTTGCCAGGTCTGCAGTAGGTGGGCTAACTCATGAAATGTCGACCGAAATTCCGAAATGTGCTTTCTTTTCGGAAAGATTAATTAAGTAGGGTTGTAAAACTAATTATCGAGCAGCATAATTCTATAATAATCCAGTTACCTCAGGGTGTCGGTTTCCGAACAAACTACTTTTCGGCTGCATACAAAAACTACACTCTGTAAAAGATGACTACTTAAGTAACATGCATTTTTCTCCTTGATTTCCGACGCCGCCAAAAATGCAATTATATTTCACGGAAAACATACATAAAATATCCATTCTTTTGCTCATTTGGTAGCAAATTACGTCTTCTTTCGATTTTATGCTCAAAAGAAGGGTACAATTTGGTTTTCAAAGAGTTACTAATTGTGAGATTTTTAATACCGTGAAATGTCCGTTCATAAAACGTCATGTTCATGCATTTACCAACGGGACTTGTTAAGTTAACAATATGGCTCAATTAGATTGCCAAATTTTATGAACCCCATATTGTCATCTATTAATACTGTAGAGAAATATACGGTTTTCCGTTCGCGAAAAATATACGGCTTGTGGTAACTCTGAACGCAAGTGTAACGGCAGGTCGGGTTCAAAATTATTCGGGAGTTTAAAAAAGTTTTTGAAAGCCGAAGTATACTCCTTCGAATAAAGAATTAAAAGAAGACGTAATTTTCTACTGAATGGACAAAAGAATGAATATGTTAATCATGTTTTCCACTTGGCATAATTGAATTTTAGGACATCGAAAATCAACGTGAAAAAATGCGTGCTACTTAAGTAGTCATTTACGGATAGCATAATTTTGGAATGCAGCTGGAAGGAGGTTCGTTCGAGGGTCGGCATCCTGCGGTAACAGAATTGTTATAGAATTATGCTGCACGATGATTGGTTTTACAACCCTGCTTAATTAATCTTTTCGAAACGAAAACGCATTTCGGAATTTCTTTGACATTTCATCAGTTAGCCCACCTACTGTATTACAGCATGCGACGCACTTATATCCGCGGTGCAAATGGGTAAACCAACGTCATGAAAGGAAAGATAGCAGGCTTTGAAACATCAATTCCCGCAGCCAGATGGTCCAGTGATTGGGCGTATGATATTATCGTCTGTAAGTGGTGATTATTAACTGAAGACGTCATTCAGCCTAGGACCGTCTTATTTGCTGTCCAAAAATAGGCATCTTTGCTACCTGAACACGGTATTGTACCTTTAGTTTGCCCTGCGTAAATAATTATTTCGAATTAAAAACGATTAGATGTGGTTATGTAGCCCCACCTGAAGTAAACATGTCTCATCCAACTGTAATACGGGGCCAGTGGTAATAGGGTTTTTTACAAGTGGGACAGGGGAACTTGCAGGCGACGAGGTCACGTAGTTGCATGCTAAAGAAAAGCTATTGGTAATGCGCAGTTGTACTTCTTTCCAAGATTCTGTCAAGTCTTCGAAGAAGAAAGGCTCGACACCTGCCGCGGCCTGCTAACGACAGTAAGTTACTTAGCAGTAACCTGCGATGTCACACATACAAACAAATCCTTCCTACGAATGTCGGGGTGAACACAGCGGGTTTTGACTATAAATCGACGCGTTGAACCACGAGGAGAAGAGAGTAAAACGGGGAAACGTTCAAAATTCAGGAACTTGTTTCAGGTGCACAGGGAGCGCATTAGACAGAACCCGTTGTCGCTGAACGTACCAACAGGCGTGCGAGCCAGGAGCAATGCATTTGCGCGATCCACCCACGCCCGCGATTTGCGCATTAATGATCACGCTAGCGCTAAGTGAAGGACACTTTTGCAAATTCACACACCCTACACACACGCACACACACTCGCACTCCACGCGCCATTCAATGTCGGTCTCCTACGTGGATGACATCTCCGATGGCAGCGGATTCTTCATCCTCTTCAAACTCCTTGCTCGGTGAGTTGATCAACTGAAAAATGCATCTTCCCGCTACTTTCAACCAATCCCCTTCTCCCTGCCGGTGTCAAGGGCTAGGAAGTTACAAGAGTCTGTCCTTTTCTAGGGCAACTATGTGTACTGTTATGTATTAGCTCTTGAACACAGGTTAACCCCCCCCCCCCCTGAATGAGTCCGTTGTTATTCTTCCGCTCGGGATGTCATGCTGTTAGGTACTTAGAAAGATTGCCTACCAATAAGCGGGAAGGACAGCTGAGACGGTAGTGTTTATTTTCAGTTTATTGATTGTCGTTAACCAACTCCGGACAGGGAAACATGATCTTTCCTCCTTAAGCTTGGCGCCCTACCCTTTGGCTCACAGGCACACGTTCTGTCGACGGTGCGCCGATCTTGTTCGGTGGCTGATTGACATCATTTCACCTTAGTTTCGAATGTTCCTCGTGAGATTGGGTGTGTTTCGAGAAAATGACACTGATTAATCTAAACAAAGTTGTGATTGAAATAACTGTCCGGCGTTTTGTCTCGCACGGGTAGTCGCGGCAAGCAAACCCTGACTACTTCCAGTTCTACTGTGGAATAACCACGTAATGCCCATTCTACAAACAAGAAGTACTACGAGTAGTATGAAATCCATATAGTAAAGGTATTATACCGTACTCCCGACGTAGATACTTGCTAAAAGCCCAGACACGTGTTTCACAGATATTCTGCCGCTGTGTGACACAGCTGCGCGGGGTTCGACTCTTCAGTGGGACCCCCAGTGTTCTCTAGCGGTTTCTGGTATATGAACTCCAGAGAATAATCAAGCGAATAATTTCAGAAATGACTCAGTGCAGGACTTGGAGTTAAATCTGCTACTTGTTTGTAGAATGGACATTACGTGGTTATTCCACAGTAGTTGATTGTCTTCGACTCGAATGTTCATTAACATTTCGGTTCTGACCCTAAAAAGTCATGTCCCCGATGAAGAGACGAGATCACCTATTCCAGGTGGCTATACACACACTGGACACTGGACGCAAATTTGTATAAGAGAACGCTCGCATTGTTGGCGCCTGCCCAATAAGGAAAGGCCGCGAATTCCTGGATGCAATGCACTCAGATGAGGCATTCATCAATCGGCATATCGATTTAGATGCCACACATAAAATGGAGGCGAGCGCAGCCAATACCGAGGGGATGACGAAATCGTTGACGCGCATTGGCGCAGGTTTCGGTCAACCATAGAATCACTTGTTCGACACGGTTAAATAGTGAACTGTTTTTGTACATTGCCCAAAAGTCTGACGACGAGCTGGGGATCCAGACTCGAAAATTTACTCATTAAAGTTTATTCCCTTCCCAAAGAATCTTACTTATTTTCAATATATATATATATATATATATATATATATATATATATATATATATATAACTTCTCGAACTCTGTTAGTAATTCCCAATCTTCCAGTTAGGACTAGATTCAAACTGTTCAATCGCGACTTGGGGACGCGCATTTAGCCAGCACTGGCTCTCATTCTCTTTCAAGGTCATGAATACTTAAGGAGAATACCGAAATGAATAGGCGAAAATTCAACCATAAAGTAAAATGTCAGAAAACTAAGAGGCCTTCTGCAGCTCTATCCAGCGATCGAGACTGCCTGTTTTCTGAGCCGAATGTCTTCGTGATCACGGCTCTCAGTATGAGGAGTGTGCATGTCCTGCGCAGAGATCTTCGATGCAGTCTGTGGGGGCTATACTCCGCCCCCATGTCGCTGTTGTATGCGTCTTCTGCCTCTCTTGTTGGGTGGTCCCTACAATCTACTGCCTTGATTGCTACTTGTCAAGTAGATTCGCAAAACCAGGCAGGGCGCAGACATATCGGCATGATGATTGGCTGAGCGATCGCGTGGCTGCCAAGCTTCTTGCAACTGTTTTATGTGTCATCATTACCGCTACCCCCGCCCCAATTACGTCATTAGCGAAGGCGTGCCAGTGGTAAGCGTGGTATATTCAGCTGGTGTTAGTCTATCCGCGTTCCCATCCGGCAGGCAGCTTCTTTGACATTGTTGTTCGCTCAGAAGACGAAGATGCGATCATTGGAACAAGAAATTTATTGGCCTGACCTTTCGGATTCTCACTCGAATCTATCGTCAGAGACAGTCGCAGATAAGACTAATGGTGGCACAAGGAGCACAGTATTTATAACACGTGGCTGCCGTGGGACAATCTGCGTACTGCAATTAGCAGCTCTCGCAATCACCGCCGGGGTCGTAAGTGATGCGATGGTGGCTTGTCAGTCCGCTTCCGAGTCGTTAATGGCCATGATTTCGTCATCCGTTTTGGATGCCGGCGTGATGATTGCTCTGCAAATTGGCCCACTGTCACTGGGATAACTGATCGCCCTTGCCCAGCGATTAGCCGCTGCAGAATAAACCGCAAAACACTTGAGCACGTCTGACTGACATCACGCACTATAAGCACGCATTAGGCACCTCTAAGGTAAGTGAGAAGTGTGTTCTTTCGCTCCATGTGCTCTCATGTGACATACGTGAGACCCGGGCAGCCCGCTCACACTTTGTGAAGTTCTAGTGTGTCAGGTCGTGTGCGTAGTACACGTAAACGGGCCGTTTTAGCTCTTGACTGACCTACGCGGACAGTTAACTGGCGTACGGGAGAAAGTAGAGAGGGTGAGGTCGACTTTGGAGACCTCAGCCTGTGACACTTCCGCGCATTCCTCACTATGATCCACCTGTGGCGGCCAGCCACCATGACCGGTCTGGCTTCATTGTTAAAGACCTCGCTGTCTCAAGGTCATTCACCCCTTGCAGCGAGCCGTACCAGACGAGCTGACCTGAAGCCACTTGACCGATTCCAGCTCGGACACAATTGCGCCCACACAGCCTCGCGGCTACCCATGCGCCACTCCCTGCAACCAGCAAAACAAGCCCCTGGGACACTCCAGACCTCGGCAAATGCAACACCCACTGACCGGGCACCACTTGAGCTTGGCCCAAGAGCCTGCAAAAGTGGCTGCCACTACTGTCCGAGGGACTCTCACGCATGACTGGACGCAGTCAACACCAGCCCTGGCTGCGCCAGTGGCCACTGCTGCCTGAGAGGACAACCCCGCTTTCTGTGCACATTAAACCCCTCATTCTGGTTCCTTCTGTCTTTTCCTTACAACTTAGGATTCGACCTGGTGGCTGTAGCGCTCAGAGCACTTACTCTCACTGCTGTGTCGCTACACACCTGACGCATTTGAAACTACCAAGATGCGATGGATATTGTGACTTTGGAGGTTGCCAACCGATGGTACTACTCAGACCTCGCAGACAGCTCAGTGTACGCTTGCGTGGAATGGCCGACTGGTGGACTGGGTGTCAAGCTCAATGGTTCCTCTCCCCAAGCAAGGCCTCCCTGACACTCTACCACATGTGGGATCCAACCACTCGTCCCTTTTGTGTGACGTCCTGTTACGCAGACGGTCAGGTGGTGTGAATAAAGAGAGCAGACGAACCGTCTAGCTCTGCCAGTCACTGTGTCCAACGCCCGCGTTAAATGACTGACCAGCTCGGTCTGTTGACTAGTATCTGGGAGGAGGAAAAGAGGGTGAGATCAACTCTGGAGACGCTGTCTCCACGGCACTCAGCGCCTGACAGTTCGACCGTTGTTACCGACGATGTCCACCGTCTGCTTCACAGCAAGGTGAAGCAGCCGCGATGACTGGCGCGTGAATTAGTTTATAGTGGTAGTGGACTTTCGCAACATCTACCGCAATCTCTCCTCCCCAGTCCCCATCTGTGCCCGTGTTCAAGACTGAGTCAAGAAGACCGGAGGCGGAGGAGGACGCAGGTGGATGGTACGGTCGAGCCCGCACTTTGGCGCTCCACTCCCCACCCTCTGGTCCACAATATACACTTGACCAGGATTTTTCACCAATAATGACAACAACACCCCCAACAGGGGTCAGAAGGACGAAGATGATGATTGGGAAGTCCCACTATGTTGGGCTCGAGCCGCCATTTGTTGTTTTGGTGAAACTCTGGTCCTTTGTACGCGGGATGGGCGTTTGCGGCACGTGCCACTGTGATTTTCTCGACTGTTTTAACGCCCCATCCCACTAGGGTCAGCGAAGGTAGGGTGCAGTAGATGCCGCGCAAGTCCGTCGCTACTTGAAACTAATTCTTGCGCGAGGCACCGTCCCTGCGCGCACACTGGTATGGGGCACACGACAGATATCGACGTCGAAATTGGCCAAACAATCATATATATGTTCGCATGGAGTGGGCGCAGTCCGATAAAAGTCTTCCCTGAGTCATTCTGGTCCTGTTCTGTTCCAGCGTTGCCCTTTGTATGGGGAGTCAAAGTCAAAATATCCGATCACTCTAAGGCATTATCGTCACCAAAGATGGGGAAAATGACCCTGCCTATAGTGCTCCTCCGAATTGCTTTATTTCAGTAAAAGCACTTCTGTTTATATAACAGGACTCACGAGCGACAAATTTGTAATGCGCTTGTATTTTTCCCTCTAGGTGGAAGGGGAGCCTCTACAAGCTTGTATGGATAGATCTTACAATGTATCTGGCTATTTACTACTTATTAAACTTAATTTACCGTTTTGCTCTGAACTCCGAGCAGAAAGAGTAAGTCTGACTACATTTACCCTGAATTCTTACTTTGAAGCTGACTCTTTTCAATTTTTCTCATCGTGGCGCCCGTAAGAGGCGGACTTTCTAAGGAGATACTTTTGAATTCACACAAAACTGCCTGACGGTTTTGGAACTAAGACGTCAAAACTGGACTTTCTGAGTCCGGTCTGCCGGAGGCCATCTGGAAAAAACTTAGAGTACCAGCAATGACTTCCAGCTCGTTCATGAGACTTCATAAGATTTCCGATTTCGAGGAGACCTCGATTAGCTCACTTCATTAAATGGGTCCGTGCCCCTGATACCAAGCCTCCTCCTTACAGTCCAAGTTCTGAGGTTAAATCGTGACACTAGATGTCATTGTGCACCATGACATTTTGATGAGACCTAGTGTCGTAATTTTATGAATAATAAATCGCAAACAGTTTTCGATAAAATAGCCGAAAACACTCACAGCCCCATTGAACATTTGGTTTAGTTAAAACACGATTGGCCGAATAAACTTGTAAAGTTATATCCTGAAGATTTGACTCGAAATTCAGATGACAGTCTACATTCCTTTCCATCATTAAAAGACTCTAATGGCACATTTAAGCGTCTATCTACTAACAGCAAATTGCGTTTCTTCTCCAGAAAATACGAAGACGATCTCGCTAGAAAATTTAGACAAAAACTAAGCACACTCCTCCGGGGAGGTTGTCTCCCATCTGGCTTTTGGTGCTGACAAAACATCCCCCGGTCTATCTGGAGACATTAGAAGGGGTTTTCTTATAACTCGGGAAATATCTTAAGTCCAAGTCTTCTTTCCGATAAAAATTTGCACGCGTATATTTCCTCCCAACGCTCACTGGCTAAAGCCTGCAAATGGTTTTATGTCGATATAAAAACACGAAAGTTGTTTACTCCCTCCGAATCGTAGACAACTTGAAAAATGTTGGATTTGCCTTCACTTACATAGACTTATTTCAGACGATATGGTTAGATTTAAGGCCAGTTTACTTTCTCAACATATGTTGATACCCGGAAAGTTCTTTTTAAACAATCCTTGGTAGAATATTCCAAACCAAAAAGCTAACCGGTACGCCCTAAAAGCGTCTTCGTTCTAATTCACCGTGAAGCGCACAGCCATTGACCTTGATACCCGCAGCTGATACGTTAACTCCTACAATTGTGATTGGCCAGATTAGAAAATACAGGCTCAGCGTTTTTGACCAATAAGACGCTGACGAAATCCACAAAAATGGCATAGTCCACAGTGGATTCCAATCACAGGGACTCTTATCTAGTAGTCCTGCCTATGCTGTTACCGCCTCTTGTCAAATGTCATTGATTGGTTGTTGGTCGTAGCAGACTTTTTGGCACAATTGAGCTAACTGGATTGACCATGAATTCTTACTTTTCTGGTGCCAAGTTAAATACGGTTCATTATAAACACGCATTGATTTTCGATAGACTGTCGGATAATAGTCCCCATCCCCTCCTCCTCCTCCTCCTCCTCCTCCCACTCCTTCATTATCGTCCTCTTCACCTCTCTTCCTCACCTTTTCTCCTCTCCTTCCTCGTCCTTATAACAAGAGTCATGTTTTCATATTTCTCTGACTAAATTTGGACTGAGTCATTAGTATCCGACTGAAGCAGACCTGTCTATGCGTTTCAGGCTTTTCAAAATTATCGTGAATTACTGCGATGGCATTAGTGGTCAACTGCCCGTCTCCTTCGTTCTGGGCTTCTTTGTTTCCGGCGTGATTGGTCGATGGTTCCACACCTACATGTACATTCCGTGGCTTAATGCCGTTACTTACAGCGTTATGGTAAGTAAACAACAATCGTGCACTTTATTCGACGGCCATTTTACATCTGTTTCGTAGGGAACGGGTTAGTGGCAGATCCGACTGCTTCACTCATTCTCTCTCTTCTGAGAGCTCAACTGACTCTTTAAACATTTCGAAAGGAAGCTAGAACAAAACATACACATTATCGCACTCTGTGCGTTAATTCGTCACCGATGGTCCCACGTAGAAAAGTGGAGCACAGGGACTCCTATAATAGTGGGGGTACATCAACAGGCGCTTTATGGGTTGGACAGATGGACTTAACGAAATCTGCGGAAGGCCTTGTGAGGGCTTGCATTTCTGTTTTATTACTTCGGTGAGGTACTGGGGCAGACCGCGCAGTCTTAACGATGCGAATTAAGAGCGCCTAAACGGGCGGGAAGCAGGTAATCTGTGGTTATTTGTAAGTGATGGCTGGATTGGGTTAGATCGTATGCGGCGAACAAACTTAACCACAACATTAAGCCTAACCCAAACCTCAACCTCGACCCTCTCCCTAACCCAAATATTTAAATCAACGCTAACCGTAAACCTAACCCTAACCGCAACTGTGACATCAACACAACATGCCTACATAAAAGAAATAAGTAGGCATGTCCTGGGAATAAAGTCTAGTTGGGGCCACACGCACTATCCTTGCCGCCAATTTTATCCTAGAATCACTTTTACACTTAAAACACACATTCATCTTATCGTCGTTTGTGACAAACCTTTCTGTAACAGCAGGGAAGCTGTGCAACCCCGGGTTGTTGCCAAGAAGCCCTCTCTTTAGTGGGCTATGCACACCAAAAATGTCTCATCCAAACAATTAAATCTTACTGCGTTGTCGTCCAAGGAAGTACCAATTACGGTTGACCTAACCCCAAACTGGGACCCACTCAGTCGCGTGCAGACCCGACTGACTGATGCCGTCGAACTGAGACTAATGCTTACTTTGATACCGGATTTGCATTTTACAAGAGGTGAAGTGAACTCAGGGAGCTGAACACATTCCGTTAAAAAGTGCCCCTCCTCCCCGCAAAAACCAAACTAACTTTATCGCGCTCTAGTTCACACTACTTCAGTCACTGGTTTTTCTGGTCTAGAGATGGTGAGCTTGAGACACAAACCTGGCTGGCGAGCCATCGGAATGGGAAAGACTAGATAGCTCAAACACCAAGTTGTCTGTCCGCTTTAGGTCGACAGAAGAACTTATGGGAGATGGGTTGGGTCTTGACGACAGGACTTGGGACTAGGAACAAGTTCATGGAAGCGGTCAAAAAGGGACGCCGAAAGCGGGTACCTACAGTGAGTGATCGATATCATGAAATGTTGATCGAAATTCTGAAATGCGTTTTCGATCAGGAAGGATTACTTAGGTACGGTTACAATATCGATTATCATGCGACATAATTCTATAATGCTTCGGACTCGCCAGGGTGTCGGCTTTCGAATGCATTTCTTTTTGACCTCCTGTAGAAAACGCACTCGGTGAGAAGTGACTACTTAAGTAACATGCATTTTCCTATGGATTTTCGGTTGTCTCGCAAATGCAAATATATTTTACAGACAACATGCATAACATATATGCTTTCTACAACTCGATCGGTGGAGAATCACGTTGTCTTTACATTTTCTACCCAAAAAGTGGTGTATTTAGATTTTGAAAAAGTTTCTCAATGCCCTAATAATTTTGAGCTTTTAGCGACGTAGTCTACAAGGTGCTTACTTTTGGCCTAAGGAAAATCACATATTCCTCTATGCCTTCATAAAATATTGCAATGGATTCGGACTATATTCTACATTTCATAAGAAGCATTGACAAATGGACGTGTGCGATGTTGTATGAAGCGACATTGCACGGTCGATAAAAGACAGTCTTCATTTCATTGAAGAAATTAAGGACCAGAACATCGCCGACAAGTGTATGATCTCTTTAGACGTGGAATCCTTATTTACCAATGTACCACTGGTTGAAACAATAGATGTTATATGCGCACAGGCGTCCAAAACCCGACTCTCCCCCGAACTACTACGAGATCTGCTGGTACTTTGCACCAAAGATGTTCAACTTCTGTTTAATGGGGAACTTTACAGACAACTTGACGGAGTCGCACTGGGTAGTCCAATCGGGCCAACCCTCGCCGATGTTTTTATGGGTTACCTAGAAGAAAAAGTGTCATCAAAATCAAACATGACAGCATTATACAGGAGATACGTGGATGATATATTCACGATTGTTGACAACAAGGAAGACGCCTCCGACCTACTTTGCCTAATGAATAATCTGCATCCTAAAATCAAATTTACGATGGAAATGGAGCAGTTTAACAAGTTACCCTTCCTGGACGCCCTCATGTTTAGAGAGGATGATGGTTCAATAAGACGCTCCGTCTTCCACAAGATTACGTGGAAAGGACAATTCTTATATTTGAAAAGCTTTGCGCCAATACAATGGAAACGTAATCTTGTACATACTCTTTTTCAAAGAGCGAGAAATATTTGCTCCGGGGAGACCATAGATACAGAAACTGCCCGAATCAAAGAAGCCTTACTTAATCGTGGTTATCCTGCACGTTTCATTCAGAAGTACAGCAACCATTTACGGCCAAAGTTGACGGAACAGTCCGTTCCGAAGAAGCCCGTTATAATATGTCTACCTTTTAAGGGTGACAACGTCTCAAACACAATCATGCGGCGCTTGCGTTGCACTATAGAAAGAACGTACAACGCAGTAGAGCTTATCTTCATCAGTTCCACAAAAAGCCTTTCAATTAACCGGGCAAAGGATGCCTTGCCAATGCACGCCACCCCAAATTGTGTGTATGAATTCACATGCACTTGTGGATGCAAGTACATTGGGCGAACGCCTCTTGTTTCCTCTGACTGTGATTTGTTGTTAACATTTCGTCTCCCTCTTTCCTGTATGATGCTTATGTGGACGTCTTATCTGATTATTCATTGCCTTGAACCCTGACCTTGCTCTTATGCACTGCCATTCTGTACAAATTCATACTGCTGTGCGCTTTCATTCGTTACCTATGTTATGCAGAGACGGACTGCAGTTGAAAAGCCATCACGAAATTTATTGGCCCCAATAAATTCTGCTGTGCATGCCTGTTTTCAATCTCATAATTAGAAACTTTTCAAAACCTAACTATATCCCTTCTTCGGACATAAAATGTAGAGACAACGTGAGTCTCTACCGATCGAGTTGAAGAAAGCATATTTTTATGCGTGTTTTTTGTAAAATATATTTGAATTTTCAAGACCACCGAAAATTCATAGGAAAAGTGCGTGCCACTCTATTAACAAGTGCAATGATCTTCCCATTCACTACTCGGTGCTGAAACTTCGACTAGGCGGAGTAATTGGCCACGCGGGAGCGCACAGGTGAACATTCTTCCCAACATCCGGGTCAGCGCGTCAGATGGTCGAACAATCATCACACCAACATCCAACGCACGTGATAAAATTGCAGCAAGTAACGACGCGAATGTCGGCCCTCACACCACATGCAACAATCCCTGATGAAGGGGGGGGGGGGGAGTCGTCAATATTCATAGGTGTGTGGTAGCATGGCTACTGCATCTTATAAATACTGCAGCCCCATATGCATGAACCATCCGTATCTGCTTTTTGTCTCTGATGATGGATTCGAGCAGGAATCCGAAACGTCAGGCTAATTAAGCTCTTGTCCCAGCGATCGTGTCTTCTTCTTCAAGTCTGTTTCGCGGGACTCGTCTCTTCGTTTCTATTGGCGATGAAAGAACTTTTAACTAACTTCCCCCACGCTGAAGTAATCCTCTAGACCGCCTATAATACGAGTGGTTTTAGGTCGTATCACTTGAGATTCTTGTAACTTAAACATCATCTTCCGATGTTTCATGTTAATCACAATCTAATCGCCTGTTGTCCTAGGCTAAAGAGGGACCAGTATTGGCTCGTGCCACGCATCAGTCCAGCTGTGGTAAGCCTGTGTGCCCTTGACTGTCGTCATATATGCACGCGACAGACGTAGACAGAGACTTTTAGGCCACATTGGACACTACGCCCAACCTTGCTGCTTCATCGATGCGTGAAAAAGAGAAGAAAAAGTGAGGCCAAACTTCTTAATAGTTTGCGTATGCAGAAAGTACCTTTTTAAAACAAGCCAGAACATTATGGGAGGACAATAAGAGGTCGGGAGGAATAATCTAGGAATCAACACAGCGCCCCATCGGTGATCGAGTAGCAGAAAGCGGGATAAAAAAACGGCACCTATAAATTTATAGGAACACCAAGTGGTACAACTACCGCAACTTACGCAGCCTAAGACCACTCATATTACAGGTGTTCTAAAGAACTATTTTAGAGGATGGGAATAACTATAAGCCATTCCAACTACGATGTCACATTTGAAGCAAGCAAGGACAGCAGAATTTAATGGTACCACAAAATTTCGCGACGGCTTCTCAACTGCTGCCGGTCGTTGCATAACAGAAATAACAAGTGAGAAAGGTACAAAGGTTTGAATTTCGACAGAGAAAATCGATGTAAAACAGCAAGGTCAACGTGTACTGCGCGTAGACTAATCGATAAAATGGTAGCTTCAAAATGCAACATAGGAATGAAAATGGGGAACTAGGCATGCCGAGGGATTTCGAAACTCAAAAGGGGCTCGGGTCTACCAGGGCAAGCTGAGGTTGACCACGTGGTCTAACTGTTTACATAGGTCGGGTTTCTCCCGCCGTATATAGGCTGCCTCCAGGTAGCGCAATAACCGAGTAGTTCGTGCTCGAACTAATACTCGAAAAGACGTCTTAGGGTCAACCGAATGGCCGCTATCAAGGAGATGTTTTGTAATGGAAGACCGTGGAGTCTTGTTCTCCTGCTTTAGAAGCCATTTAGGCAGGTGCTCAACTGCTCTGGCTGCCAGTTGCCTTTGCGTTCGCCCAATGTACTTGCATCCACAAGTACCTGAAAATTCGTAAACACAATTTGACGTGGCGTGCAATGGCAAGGCATCCTTCGCCCATAGATCTTCGATAGCCTTAGTAGAACTGTAGAAGATGAGTTCAGCTGCGTTGTAAGTTCTTTCAATAGTGCATCTCAATCGCCGCTTGATGGTATTAGAGATGTTGTCGCCCCTAAAGGGTAAGGATATTATAACGGGCTTTTTCGGAACAGATTGCTCCGTCAATTTTGACCGCAAAGTGTTGCTGTACTTTTCGATGAATCGTGTTGGATATCCGCGTTTAAGCAGGGCTGTTTTTAGGCAAGAAATTTCATCATCCAGCGTTTCAATGGAGCAAATCTTTCTTGCTCTTTGGAATAGAGTGTAAACCAATTTCGCTTTCGTTGTATCGGCACAAAGCTCAAGAAGTGTAGGTATTGGCCTTTCCATGTGTCTTTGTGGAAAACAGATCGCCGTATTGAACCATCTTCCTGTCTAGTCATGAGGACATCCAGGAAAGAGAGCTTGTTGCACTGCTCCTTCTCCATTGTGAATCTAATCTTAGGATGGAGACTGTTCATGGCAACAAGTAGGTCTTCGGCTTCATCGTCGTTATCAACAATAGCAAAAATGTCGTCTACATATCTTTTGTACAGTGTTTTCCTATTCAATTTTTCTGAGAACTTTTCTTCTAGGTGACCCATAAAAATGTCAGCAAGGGTTGGAGCAAGCGGACTTCCCATTGCCACTCCATCAATTTGTCTGTATACCTGTCCATTGAACAAAAATTGAACGTTTTTCGTGCATTGTTTCAACAGGTTACGTAATATTTCGGGTGACAGGCGGGTTTCAGACGCATGGTCGCATATGATATCGATAGTCTCATCCAGCGGTACATTTGTAAATAGTGATGCAACGTCCAAAGATATCATAGTTTTGTTGGAAATGTTCTGATGCTTTATTTCTTCAATAAACTGGAAACTGTCTTTTATTGTGTAAGTTGAAATTCTGCTGTCCTTGCTTGCTTCAAATTCATTCCGCGGAAATATTCCTTCGATGTCACATTTAACAGCAGCTGTTGCAACTTAATCCTCAGTCCGGACGACTGACTATTCTCCCTTAGTTGGCAGCTTTTCGAGCGGCTATATGCGTGCCTCTTCTACTACACTTTCGTAGGTTATTCGCTTTGGTCAGTAGTGCAGACGTTCTGATATAACAGCTGGGAAAACTGGAGTACTTCATTAATCACAATTCCACTGCCCAGCTTCGTTTAGGGAGAAGAGAACTGATTAGAATAGGCGGCTTTAACCTGCTACGTGAACCTGATAGTCATCGGCGACCTTTACACGCCTCTCCCAACAACGTTGCGGTGGACTCAAACGCCTCTGTGTGTCCCAGGTGATAGCCAGTCAGTATCAACTTGACTGTTTGATTGGACGTTCACCTAGTATATGTGGACACTCACAGCTGACTGAAGACAGCTCTCTATGGTGCATAGACTTGGAAAATGCATCAAAATCGAATGGGGAAGCTGAAACACCCCCTCTCTGAGGGCTGGTAAGGGTGAAGTGCCACTGACGGATTTCGGTGTCATCCGGCATGCCGAGCACCTCTTTTAGCTAAAGCAGGAAAAATTACGACGGGGCGGTTATATCGTGGGCACGGCTGACGGTCGCGTGAGAAAATAACTGTCTTCTGATGAAATCGTTCAGACAGTCTCGTGAAGGGAGAAGCAACCACAACAACGCTCTAAGGACACGACGGGAGCTTGTTTAAAATGACTTCATCTTGGCCGTGAACGTCTACGCAGGAACCGGAGGCATGCCCTTCGAAACTGTTGCAAAACAGCAAGCGTAAAAGGCTAAAATTCCCCAGGCAAACATTGCCAACACTTTGCTTCCCACAGCTTCCATCCGACTCAGAGGGCACCACCACCACCACCACCACCACCACCAGCAAAGTGGAAACATAGAACCAATTTGTCCACTTGCGACCTCTCATCTCAACCACGTATTGAACTGACTAGTGACTTTATTCCCGGCGTCTGCTGAAAAACTGCGTTTCGGTCTGGCGCATACAGTGGCAGTCGCTCGTCCGACGTCCTGAGACTCCTCGCATATGGGTTTGTAGGCGCCTGTGATTGGCTATCCTCAGGGCTGAATGTGCTAACTTTCTGGCGCTCATAGGTCGGGATCATATGACTCCGAGCGCGGCGTGGGTGCCAGAGGCAGAAGGTGCACATCCATTCTGCAGAGAATACACTACTATCCCTACTGACGTTTAATTTTTACTCTTCCTATCCGGGACCCGATCTAAAGGTTGTAGTGGTCTGACCATGGCGCGACTGGAAAAACGACTCCTGGAGCCCCAATAAAAACTCGTCACATACGACTGCCCTGCTCACAGCGTTGCAGCAGGTCCGGCCACTGAATGAGTCTGTTCACCCGCGTTAAAAGACCTTTCTTCATTTAAGTTTACACTTTCCCACTCTTGAAACCACTGCAGGACACATTGCGGTCATGCGCGCACATACCCACATACCAGGACCTTTCGTCTCCCCACGTCAACCCTGCCGTGATGTTCGTCAACGCCATTTTTAACAGGCGAATCGTGATGTTTGTTTACTTTTATGCGCGCGGTAGGCAGAGGTTCTGCGCTCGAATTGATTTGAACGCATCATTGGTGAATGCGTGGGAGAAGATAAAGCGCGGACGATCCAACTTGAACTTTGAAGTACCCACGACAGGCTAACAGGCGTAGTCTGCCAAAATCGTGGAGATAACCCGGTTCAGGCTTTAATGGCTCTAGAGAAGATGAACAAACGATCTCTGGAATAGTGGGTGTATTAGTCAGAGCTTTCGGTCTCGTACAGGAGGCCATCGTCAGAGACGGAGAATGCGGCATCAAATGAAAAGTTTTTGTAGTCAAGCCATGATGTGGGGGAGATATGAGTGCAGAGGGTGGTATTCGCGATAAGCTGAGTCCCACGCCGTCTCACGGTGGCGTAACTGCGTGTACCCTTGGCTGGAAATTGGGTCGCGCCCCTTGACCGCGGGAACGGAGCACGTGATATCAGGGGGTATGTCAACGTGCCTGTTGATTGAGTTGGCGTCAGACACCCTGGCCTCCAACAGTTCTCGCCCTGTCTTATTGCTGGCGCGCGCTACTATTCACGTGCTCGCGAAGTTGAATTCGTGGCTTTCCTCCAGGGTGTGAATGGACACTTGAGACAATGGGTCGCCTCTCCGGACCGCCCGTTTATGCTTCGTTATTCGTGAGCTAAGTCGTCGTGCCGTCTGTCCTCTGTAGTGGCGAGGGCAGTCCCGACATGGGATATGATAAACGACACCCGATTGTTCTCCCACGTCTAGTCGGTCCTTCACTTGCATGATTTTGTTGTTCATGGTCGCTGTCGGACGGTGAGCGATACCCACGCCGAGCTCTCCAGCGATACGTTCCATCGCTTCGGACACGTTCTTTATATATGGCAGAGGGTGCCAGAGTGTTGGCGGCTCTCCTCCGTTTGTTCGCGATGGGTGCGTGCGGAGGCAGCGGCTGACGAAGCTGTTCCGGTATCGTTTCCTTGCCAGTTGGTGCCGAAGATGCCGCAGTTCTCGTACTCGTCCCTCTGGCTCACTGCAGTGAGTTTTCACCCTTTGGAAGAGTGTCCTAACACAGCTGCGTTGGTTGGATGGTAACTATGGTAGTTGAGAATCTGAGTCGTGTTCGTCGCCCTTCTGTACACCGTGGTGCTGAGTTTGCCCTCAGGTGACGAGAACGTCAAGGAAAGGCAGCTGTTCGGCATGCTCTTCATCCCTTGGCTCTTTCTTACTGGATAGTCTTACCCGCGGAGATTCTTGGCCTTCTAATGGGGTCTGGTATATGTGGATTTAGGAGTCCGGTTGAGTTTGACGTGCGCAGAAGGGCCGTCTAACTTTGTCAGCCACTGCGACCAAACCAACCTCTTGACGCTAACATGCTATCAAACGGGGTGGACGTGGATGCAGAGAGTGAAGTAGATGCCACTTAAGTACGATCCACGATAGACAAATTCACGTCTTGTGGAACGGTGGTGGGCCTCGACGTAGAGCGACAGTCAGTCTATCGGTTGGCAGCTCGGAGAGCTGAATGCGCGGATGCTCACGTACTCCCGAGGGTGATAACCACGTGATTACCTCGATGTGATGACCTTACCCGGGGCGCCTGCTGCAACACTGCCACTCTCGCGTCCACCAGTGGAAGTCTGTTTCTTGGTCAATCCTAGCTATCCAGACAGGCCAATCAACTTCCAGATCGACTGAAATATGCCCCTGCTCAAGGCGCTGTAGCGCCTGCCCCAGCGATACTCGAATGATCGCTCTGGCGACGCCAGCAGTGTGTCCCCGTCCGGTTGCCAACCTCTTCCAGCCTACCCTCCATTTAGTCTGTAGAGAACACAATGTGGGCAGTATGTTGTTACCGACAAACACAAGGGAGACTGGAATGGTCATTTCTGGCTTATTAGCCGTCGTCAGTTAGTAATACCCAACCCCGAAGTGTGGAGCACCCGAGGCTCGAACTCGGAACCTGTTAGTTAGAAGTTTACACCTCTAACCACTGGGCCACGAGCCCGTTGCCCTGACGACGGCTAATAAGCCAGAAATGGCCCTTCCAGTCTCCCTTGTCCTTGTCGGCAATGGCATTCTGCCTATATCATGCGCCGCTGTGCGGCTACTGGTTGGGTTTGAGAGAGAGAGAGAGAGCCCGTCAGGTACAACGGAACGAGTGAGTTCCGTAAGAACGATCGGTGAGCGTCCCTTACCATTGTATATTTAGTCTGTGCAGAATACAATGTTCCGACAGGGCAACGGGATCGCGACCCAGTGGTTAAAGGCGTGGACTCCTAACTAACAAGTCGCGAGTTCGAGCTCCGGGTGTTCCACACTTCGGGTTGGGTATGGCTGACTGACGACGGCTAATAAGCCAGAAAGGACCATTCTAATCTCCCTTGTCTTCGTCGGTAATGCCATTCTGCCTATATATCATGCGCCGCTGTGCGGCTGCTGGTTGGGCTCGGGAGAGAGCCCGTAGGGCACAACGGAACGAGTGAGTTCCGTAAGAACGATCGGTGAGCGTCCCCTGCCAGAACACAATGATCTCTTTACTGTCAGAGTCGCTGTGGTTAGGATCTCTTCACGGCTTTTGCTGTCACGACACCCTCGCTCATCGAGTCCCACTGGCAATACTGGCTTAATTCGACCACAGAGACTGGCTGCGGTGGATGACCAGAGTTTAGTCCCGTCTCTTGCGCTCCAAGCGCACATTCTGCTCAACTTGAGTCAGAGGTAACGACGCCATCTAGTTTGGGCTATCCTAGTGTCTCCAATCTCAACCACCTTTTACATCCTTAGAAGGAAGGTCCTCCTGGTTCGTTAACACTCTTTAGCCCTTGTATTTGAACTCTCACCGGTCTCTCCAACAGGCCAATAAGGCACCTATGCTGTCTGTGATGGTGTTTTTCCTTACTAACCTATTCTGCATACGCTTAAGTGGCTCTTATTTGCTTACCTGTACTTGTTCCATAGTCAGCTGTCAACTGTGCCGATCCCAGGGTTTCTCGTAGGATCCGCCTCTCAGTCATGCGTTATCTCAACCTGGCCTGGATCCTGTCACTGAGGCGTGTCAGTGATCGCGTCGCTGAGCGTTTCAGCCAGCGAAGCGAGTCATCGAGTGGCCCTGCAAAGGGCGACGACTACTGTGTCAATCGGGGACGGAACGATCTCTGGTCAGTATCCCTGGTAAGCCAGTACCATCCTTTTCCGCACAGTTGGACGCACGTTG